TTATATGCTGCAACCAGTTTTTGTAAGCACACACAGTTAAACAGTAACTTGGTTGTGGTATTTATCAACTACATGTCATAAAACATTGTGTGTCAATAAACCCTAGTCTAGAGCAACATTTGACACCTTAAAACAAGGAAAAAAAAAACCACTATAATTATTTTTTTGGGTTTTTTTGATGTATACCTTCTTTGGTGCAGATTTTTTGAAAGACAGGGAGGACATAGAACATCCAACTTAAAATACAACAATCTGAACTCTCCTGTGTTACTGCACACTGTTAACTCCACATTATAAGAAACTAACATAATTAAATTGCTTTTTTAGCTACCAGACATCTCCCACATAATCCTTTCATTATACAGAATTAGTATTTTAAAACAAACAAAGAAACAAAAAGAAAAACCCACAAATTTTCTCCAGGAAAAAGCTAATACGCAACTACTTGTGGAGAAGATTACATGAAAAACTACTACAGCATATACTTCAATGAACAAACATTCTCAGCTGTAACCAAGTCCCACACATCTTGCTTTGTTTTTCCTAAACAAGTGTAATATAATGCTGTACAAAAAAATAGAAGAAAAAATTCCATTCTGCATTCCAGTTATCAGAAACCTACAAAACCCTAGAGAACACCCTAGAAAGCTCAATTACACAAAAGTTCCGATTTTGAACAACACTTCTTTAATTTAGTACATGTTACTTGCATGGATCATATATTTGAGAATCAAACCATTTGACACAAAGATCTGTAAAGCATGACAATTTCAGACTCTGCTGACCTATTGGAAGGTAATTTAAACAAGTTAGCATTGAGGCTTCTGCCACTGATGTGCAGGAGAAGCTTTTAAAGCAGCAATGCTGCAACTCCCTGTTAAGAGACATTCCCTTAAAATTCCACAGCCCTCTTTTTATTCTTTAAACTATTGACACTCCTGCCCACTTGCTTTATTACTTCATTTTACCATTTTTCAGCCTGTTTGTATAAATCATTTTACTTTTCACCCGACTTATTCTTCATCCATACTTCTCTGCTTACCTAAAGGTTACTTCAGTTGTGATTTTCTTCCCCATTTCATGAGGAATTTGGTGCTTGGAGGTACTTATAGAGACATTTCCTTTGTACAATTACAATCTTGAAGTTTATATCTGAATCTGAACCAAATGTTTTTGCCATTTTGCTGAAACAACTCCAAAACAGCCTCACACCCACAATACTGTCAGTATGGAGGTTTAAGAGAGTTACTTTGTGTCCTCTAAAAAAAACAAACAACAAAACCAAAAAACACCACAAACCCAAACAACTTCAGCCAGATCTTCAGCTTCTCAGGAGCATGTATGGGCCCAATAACCGTTTTGAACAGCCAGCACATGATTTCTCTAGTGTTTGGAGACCTTCCAGGAGACATGTTTCCACAAAATTGCATTTCTGCTGGTAGTGAACTGAGAAGGAAGAACTCAGTGATTCAACTATTTAATGTAATTAAATGCCAGCTAAAATAGCTATCTACACTACACTTAATTTGTATGATTTAATTAATAAATTCAACACAAATAATTTATATAATTTACTTGATGTCGTAATTAGAAACAACTAAATGACAGTTACAGTCCTTGCAAATCTCAAAATGTCACTGTTTCAGCATTTCATTGATGCTGCTTCATCCTTCAAAAACTCTGCTATCAAAAAAAACCCAAGGCATCTATATTTAACAAAGGAGATAGTAAAGCAAAAACTATTTTGAAGATCATATTGGCACCCTCCTATTTCAGTACCAGTACAGTGCCCACCACAATAAAGTATCTTTTTTCCCCACTTCCACTCCTAAAAAAATGAAAACAAACCACCACACAAACACAAAAGTCAAAGTACCACACAACAAAAAATCCCCAAACCATTCCCACCGTATACTTGAAGCAGTGGAATTGCTAACAAATAAGCCTCTGGAGAGGTAAGATCTATACAACCTTCTAGAATCACAAGCCTAGAGATTTTGCAAGCAGCACTGGTCTGGAAATGGTATCTTTACATATTTGTTCGACAGCTTTGTCGGCCATAATGTGGGTACTGCAATACTGGCCTTGCAAGCAGAGGTTTCCGAGAACAACAGCAAGAAAAAAGCACACCCTGACAACAGACCATAATATCCCACTTCAGATGATCTCTGCTGATAAAAGCATACCAGTAACCATGTTTTGCTTGTATTTAATCCTGTCAAAATATGATGATACATGTCAGACAGTTTAAATGGAAACTGTGTTTTCCCTGTAGACTTTTATGTGTGTTTAGAGTGCAGCATGATCAGCAGGCCAAGGGAGGCAACCCTCCCTCTCTACTCCACTCTTGTGAGACACCACACGGAGTATCGTGTCCAGGTCTGGAGCCCCCAGCACCAGAAGGACACTGAGCTGTTGGTGTGAGTCCAGAGGACTGCCTATCTCCTGAATTTTTATTAATTTTGAGTTCAAGAGGAAACCATAAAGTTAACATATCTTGAGCTCAAAAACATCACTGCTCTCAAAAATGTGCATTATGCTTCCCAGTGCCATCATTTCAGTGTTGCAAACTGACCATTTATTCCATCTTTTTGTTCCCTCTCACTTATTTAATGACCGTGCTTACCTCATGAGTAACTGTCCCACCTTAACAGTCTATTATTAAGGAATGTCAAAAGCTTTTGAAATTTCAAATAAATTCTATCTGATAAGTCTGTGACTCACTGTTTTGCTACCAGAGTGAAAGAATTTCAATAGATTAGCAAGCACATTTTCCTTTGAAGAAACTGTGCTAATTTACTGCTATCAAAGTATGATCTAGAGCAGATTAACCCTTTAAAAAGCACCAGCTATTTTCCTCTGTCACTAAAAGAGAAGCTTGATGGACAGCAATGCCAAGCATACCTTTGGTTAAAGGCACGGAGGTTAAGTGCAAAACTTATTTTTATATAAAGTGACTGATTTATTGGGAGACTGCATTACTGGCTGGGGTGCATAGGAAATGACAAGGACAAGGAAGCAACAAAGCTGTGGCCTATTCATTTATCACGCACACAAGATAACGATAACCAAAGCGAATCAGAACACAGACCAACGTACGAAAAATTCTTTCATCTGTTTATGCATTTTAAACACCAAATTAGATATCAGGTCAATTAGATCTAAATAACTCCTTTCCTTTTTGCAAAGCTTAAAGATCCCCTAGCCAATATTCTCAGTGTGGAATATTTCTGACAAAAACTCAAAAGCTAAGAGACCACAATAAAACTATTTAAAATATTTGTAAGCCTTTTGGTAATTCTTTGCCCTCCCCACCAGAAGTCCCCTTACATGATTCTCCCTTAGTTTAATTCAAAAACCTCAATTGTCACTACTCTTCATTATATTTTACTTACTGGTGTTTCACCCAAAGCCTTCTGAAGAAGAAAAAATGGCAACGAACTATTACATGTAATTGAGACATCACAGGAATAGAAATACATATGTTTGCTGTAGTCTTAAACTACCCCAGATAACTTCAGCAAGTAAGATCCTGTTTTTCCAGTGTTTTTTCCTCAAGGCAGCCTCAAAACTACAGAATCCCACCTAGCACTGTTAAAAAAGATGCTTAAACTGACAGCTGTGTGCCAACTAGAAACTTCATCAGAAACACTTACTCAACCAGTGACACGCAGCAATAATGTATAGCACAGGCTCTAGCAACAAGTTAAAGCTGAATGGTATATCAATTATTCTGGAAATTACCTCTCATATCTGCATAAGCATTCCTGTATCACTTCAAGTAGAGGAAATCCTGGGTGGATATGTTCATTTTTATTAACTGAGGAGACCAGTAATGCATTTCCTTTTGACGTGACACCTTATGCTTATGGTCTTACCTTTTATATACAGCTGTATCAATCCTGAGAACACACTCTTCAGTCTCTAAACACTACTGGAAAAAAAGTCCTAAGGTGTTTTAAGTACACTTCCAGTAAATATGGACAAGCAAGTAACATAAGCTTGACAAAAAGAACATACACCAAACAGAGCTCCATTGTTTTTAAGAATTCCCACACAAACAAATAAAATGGTGAAGTATGCCTTACACAATTTTCTAAGGTAATGAGAAGCAGCATTGCTTTAATCAAGAGCAAAACATTTCACTTGGTATTAAGACATTGAACAATCAACAGCATACAAAATTAGCATTTTGGGTTGCAATATACAACACTATGTTGGAAATCACCAAGCACATGGCACTACAAATAGAAAAAGCTATCTATCTGATTTTACAAAGAAAAAACAAAAAGATAAAACCCAGCAAATTATTATAAATTATACTGCTCCTCCTCCTCTATGCTGAAATAATTCATACATGTTTCCAAAGATAAATTTTCCTGATAATTAAAAGAACATTAAAAGGGACTTCCTTTCAGCTGCTGCTTCTCTACTCAGAAATGCCACCTCTCTTATTTGAAGTTAGAGACTCATGTCTTTTAAAATTTATAACTGGCCTGCTTAGACTTCCAGTACCAAATCACAGGAACTCCTCCTGAAATTTAACAGTTGAGACAGCTGCTCTTGTCATCTGAAGGTTTGTCTGTTTACTTTGTCACACATATTCAACAATGACATTTGAATGACTCTCAAAAACTTAATTATAAGCAAAGAAAAAAAGGTTATAGAAGATACAGTAAGTGGCATGGAAAAAAAAAAAATCTTGTAAAACTCACATTCTGTCACAACTCTATCTTCTTATAACAGTAAAAAGAAACGCAGAACTGTTTGAAAAGATTAAATCCTAAATCAAGTACCAGACTCCTCTAATTGTTTCATTGTTCGCCCTCCAGTTCCACTCCAGAAGCAGAGAGCTACAGCACCTAAAGGCATATGTGTTAAATTTAAGTATATTTAATGCCCTCTTCATCTGCTACATGTCCAAGATATGAAAAAGTAGCGTTACTTATTTAAACAGATACAGCAAAAAGCAAAAGTAATATTTTTTATTCCAACTTTACCTTATCTTTGTCTTCCACAACATCTGCCAGCACATCATCTGGGTCCAGGATTCCTCCATCTGTATACTCCAGGTGGTGAATATTTACCCAGGAAGTTGGATCCTGTAAGACAGACACAAGACTTCTTAACTCTTCCGTGGTTTCAGCGCCATCAGACAATGCAACTTTGTATCCCATGTGCTTCCCACTCATCTCCCCCTTAAATGATCAAGCAAAAGCTTGGAGCCACTACCTGAAGTTGAAACAAAGAGAGAACAAACTACAGACACAAAAAAAGACACTACCTATAGAACACGATGCAAAAGATCTTCAGAAAATGTATGTTTCCATTGCTTCATCATTCTTTACTTAAGTTAAATAGTAAATGAAAATTTTTTTAAAAAGGAGAAATTAAACTTTTTTTCTTTTTATGATTGTTTAGAGTTGGAGTATTTGGGGTATTACCAACAAACACACATAAATATATACATGTATGGATATGCAATTCTCCTAACAATTTGCAGGGGAGGGATGTTACACATACATTTATATAAATAGAACACGCTCATAATTTCTGAGTAAATAGGTCAGGCTATTGTGGCAAAAAAACATTGATAGAATAAATAAATCCCAGTTTGTTTTTACAAATAAACACTCTCAAATTCCAGTGCAGTGTTGTGTACTATATTAACATGGATCATGTCAGTTTTCAAAAGCTAATGCTTCCTCATATATCAACTACTTCATTTCAATAACTGGGAACTTAGTCATCGTTAACCCTGAAGCCAGAAGGCTCAGACCACACTGCTCAACAGCAAATTCTCCTTGAGAGAGCAGACACACAACCTGTAATCACTACCCCAGACCGTAACAGCTACCTGTGTACACAACTTACAAGGGGGACAGGACAAGCAGCAGTTATGTTTGAACTACCTTAATGAACATTTGAACATTTACCCCATTAGGGCCTACTATTATGGTTGAACAAGCACATGGCAGCTCAGCAAGTCACAGCAACATGTTTGAGCACTCTATGGTATCAACATTGATAAATGTTCAATTGGCACATGTTCTACAGCATGCTTAAAAAGAAAACATGCTTAAATAAGATTACAAAGTATATTTGAATCTTCCATCAAATACTATGGGGACTCTCCAGAATATGCTAAAATTAAAAGTCAAGAAACTAGCACACATGTGTAGCTTTGACAAAAGTTTCAGAAATGGAAAGAGAAAGTAGAGCACTGCTGATGTGCAATACGCACTCCCAATGATTCCATTTATATTATATCTGTATCTCAAATCTCTTCTTCCTGGATAAGTCTAATCAGATCACAGTTCTCAGAAGCAAAGTAAAGCACAACAGACAACTAGAGGTAGTTTGGACATTGTCCATGTAATGAAGTCCCTGAGAAGCATGAATATTCCACTCATTTATTTATTGGCATTTGATAACTTTGGCCATCAAGGTATGCAAACAGCTGAAAAATCAGGATAATACTATCATAGGTAGAGATGTGAATTAATTGGATTAGGCTTATTTTTTATTGTGTCATGAATAGGCAGCAGTAAAAGAAAGAAAGGGAAAAAAAATACTCATGCCACAACCCAAGCATTACCCATCAACTCATCATGACACTATCTGCTTTCCTGGTGAACCCGCAACAAAATGCTTTCCCTGTTCTGGTCCACCTGGCTTTTCACAGTTTCCATTGACAGGTCCTGGATTGGTCTAGGATAGAGTTAGTTTTCTTCACAGTAGTTTGCATAGTTCTATGTTTTGGACTTGTGACCATAAAAGTGTTGATAACACAAGGATGTTTTGACTAAGGTTGAACAGAAAAAATACAGCGTCAAAGCATTCCCTGTTTCTTCCCCTGCTGTGGGGTGGTGCACAAGAAGCTGGGAAGGGACATAGCTGGGACAGTGACCCCTTACTGACCAAAGGGATAACCCATACCATAAAACACTGTGCTGAGCAATAAAAGCAGGGGAAAAGAAGGAAGGGGAGGGGGAGGACCAGAGTTGTGCATGCAGCTTTTGTTTTACCTATTAAATTGTCTTTTTTCTCAGTCTATGAGTTTTCTCACTTGTACATTTATGATTTTCCTCACCAACCCACCATGAAAGGTGGGAGTCAACAAGTGGTTGTGTAAAGCTTAGTCGCTTTTGTTTAACCCACATCTTTTCTACTCCCTTGCACTTGTTTGAGGGTTAAGTACAGCTAAGATACAGTATGGCTGAATAACAACCAACCAATTAGGCACACAAAAGTACCTCTATTTATAACAGGTATATTTACCTCTAACTAGTCATTTCATTTTGTTTCACACTGAACCATCCACTTGTGAAATAGCAAATGTTTATTCATTCTAGAGATCAGATATTCAAAATTACAAAATTTAAGAATATCAGTTAACATGCTTTTTTGCCTCTGCAAAGTTATGATGTCTAAATGACTATTACAGCTCAAAATTCTATTTTAAAGCCCATGATTTAAGTATTTTTACCACAAACACACAGAATTCTAAGATGAAATGACAGAGATGAAAAGTACTTGTGTGCAAGAAGAAAGCAAACAATTTATCTACCCCACGGATAAACTTGCAAAATGTGATTCTCTCAAACTGGAACACGTCAGTAGCCACAAATGTTCCTCCCGAACTTTTTAACTAATGCAATCACAAAAGGTTTCCTAGCTAGCAACACTAAAACAGAGTACTTGAAAAACACTCCTCTTAATTAAACAAACTCTGTGGCTAACATTTTGTCTGAAGATACATTAAAACCTGTTCTATGTGTTACACTTTTTAATAGTCCTATAAACAGACTAAAGCTGATATGAAAAAGTAAACAACCAATTGGAATGTTTTGCTTTCAATGTTCACTTCAATTTGTGATTCAGTACCTGCTCCAACCCAGGTGTGTCATTGAAAGAGAAACAAATTAAAAAGGAGTGTAACAGCTCTATTATTCCAACAGAACATAGCATATTGGCAGGAAACAACCTCAAGACACATGGTCACCCTAAACTACATTCAGCTTAACAAATGCCTAACCTTTCTTTTACTTCAAGCCACAGCCAATATGGTAACTTACTGCTTCTCTTAGTAGCCATATCAAGGGAAAGCAGTCACTAAATCAGTCTGAAAGAACAGAAGATGTCATTCCTCACCAATCTTTTAGAGTAAGTGTGGCCAATGTTAGAGTCTTTAAAAAAAAGGAACAACAATTGACACTGAAATACAAGAACTAAAACAGTACAGGATTCATATCATTTCTTTATCAGAAAAAAAGCTTCTTAACAGCTTAGATACTGCTCCCACACACACTATGACCCATATACACCAGTGTGAAGCCACTATGACCTTCTACTCTCAAGGACTCCCCAGTTACAGTAACCACCAGAGACTACAAAAAGACTAAACACTTCCTGTTTCAGAAATTCCAATGTGAAACCTGCTTCTATTAACTTAACCAGAACTTCATCCCTGAAAGTTTAAACAGCACGGAGAGACACTTTTTGAAGACTCATTTGATGAAGCAAATAGTTAGCTACTTCCAGACAGCCTAAGTGAAGGAAATTACCTCTGCACAGCCACAGAAGTAACAGCAGTTCATCTCACGAGTAAAATCACTCAGCCATTTAAAAGATACTTCCAAGTCAGAGCAAGATTTTCTGTTCTTTGGATCAACTCCAAACACTGCCATGAACAGGATACAAAGTATCTATGTTAAATACCGCTACAGTCTATGTAGCAATTCCTTCTGGGTTTTATTTCCAGACAGCTTCAATAAATAGAACACCAATATTTTAGCTAACTTGCCATATAAAACAAGCAATTAAATACCAGCAGATGCAAGAGTTGAATATGCAAGAGTCCCAAATACCATTTCATCCACATGATGATTAGGGGATGGACAGTAACAGAAGGAAAAATGAATGTGCATGCATACGCACGCACACACACGCACACGTTTTGCGCGTTATTTAAAGCTCAAAAGGAGTAGAATAGGTCTGACAAACAACTGTTGTAAACCCAAGACATAGAGAAATCAAAACTTTCCTTAGAAAGGGATGTTCTTACTTTAAGTTTATGTTCTAGTAAGATAGAGCAATCACAAAAGACCGTCAAGAACACTTTAGGTTTCCATGGATTCTAAAACCACTAGGCAGGAAAATGCATTACCAAAGTAACAAGGTAGCTTTTACAAAGTACGTCACTGGGGTTCTTGCGAAATAGACAGCTTTTCTGCTAATACACTATTTTCTTTAGGCTCTGAAAGTAAGCACCCAGTAACAGGTGATACGCTGTTGCAATGTTAAACTTGAAGGGTTGACCCAAGCTTGCATGTTTGCTTCAATGAAATAACACTACTTAGCTGTTGAAAGCAGAAAAGTCCTTATAAACATATAGGGTAAGACCACACTTGCCACATTTCTGTTCAGAAAAGGGATTGATTAGGGACATAATTACTGAAAATACATTTCCTGAGAAAACTACCAAATATAAAGTAAAAAAATATAACAACTGTATTTTAAAATGCTAGGATAGGTTTTTTTCAGGGTTTTTTTGTGGGTTTTTTTTGTTATTGTTGTTGGTTTTGTTTTTTTAACTGTTTGAGATTAAACTCCTCTTCTAATGATTGACAGTGTCCAGAATGATTTCTCCCAGTATCTTCTTAACTATCACTGGAAATTCACAGGCTCAAGAAGAAATAATTCATTTTGAAAAACAAAAGAAACAATTTTTTGTAAAACTAAAACACTAAGCATCTAAGAAGCTCTACGTCATTTAGGAGAAAACACTTATGCAGGTTTTCCTCAAAATGGTTAAAAGAAAAAAACAAACTAACAGCCTGAGCAGGGAGAAGTTGTCTTATCACATGGAACATAACCATTACTCAAAAGTCTAGCAGAGATGAACAATAAAAAACTCTAAATACATAAAGAAAAAGTATGAATAAGTTACCTGGTATAATACGTACAAGCACTTCCCAAATGAATATTGAACAGTTACTCTAATGTGCATTTCACCTTAGGGCTGCAAGTCATGTTTGTGTTTAACATCAAGCCACTTAAAAGCTGTTTATCATCATTTCCTTTATATGTGGGAGAACACTTTAGAAATTACTATGCAAATATTTACCAAATGTTAAATTAAAGCCAGGTCACATGAATGCACAAGTGGGATGTAGGCAGAGAACAGACA